GCCTTCTTCCTACAATGAGGTGACTGGTAGATAATCAGTAGATGACTGGAAAACCGTGGATATTGCTTACCTATACTTCAGTGAGGCTTTACACTGTATCCTGTAACATGCCCACAGAAAAAATGATAAAGTGGAGGCTAGATAAATGGACAGCAAGATGGATTGAAAGCTGAATGAACTGCCAGGCTCAATGCACCGTGGTTGGCGGCTTATAATGCAGCTGGAGTCCAGCCACTAGTGGTGTACCCCAGGGGCTGACAGATGAGACAAACCTGGGGGAGTGGCTGATACACCAGAGGGTTGTGCTGCCCTCCTGAACAGGCTGAGAAAATGGAGCAACAGGAACCTGATGCAGAAAGGAAATGCCACATCCTGTGCCTGGGCAAGAATAATGCCTGGCACCAGACAGCCTGGGAAGCAGCTCCTCAGAGAAGGCCCTGGAGAACGTGGGGGAGAAGCTGACCATGAGCCAGCTATGTGCTCTGGTGGCAGAGCAGGCCAGCAGCCTCCAGGGCTGTGTTAGCCAGAGCATCACCAGCAGGTCGAGGGAGGTGGTGACCCTTCCCTCTCCTCAGCTCTGGTGAGGCACAGGTGGAAGGCTGAGTCCAGTGCTGTATTTCCCGGTACAAGACAGGGACTTCATGGAGTGAGTCCAGCAAAAAGGCCAGGAAGATGATGAGGATGATGATCCTATCCTTGTGTATGAACAACTGATCTGGGGCAGTAAAGATGATGGAGCCAGACTCTTCTCAGGCTCAAACTGCAATACTGAAGGTGCCGTTGATAGAGGAGAAGAAACTGTTTTTCCTGTGAGGCTGGTCTGGCACTGGCACAGGCTGCCAAGCAACTGAGAAGACAAACAATCTTCAGCAACAAAAGCATTTTCTAAAAAACCCATTTGATCTTCAGTGACTATTCTGACTAGTTATTTTGTTATTATTAGATGCAAATACACCTTCACATCTGTTGACACATAAAATTCAGAATACTAAGAGATTAATCCATTTGAAATATTATTTTGGCATTTGGGGACAGGTACTCTGGGAAATTCAGGTGGGGCATGTGTGTGCTATACTCTAATGTCAAGAGTGCCTCCAAATAAGCTGTATCAGCAACACTTTTCTATTCTTTCACCATTTTTTATGTCTTGATAGTTTTGACTCAAGTCTTTTTGTCTAAGCCAATCTTAAACATTAGTTTAATATTAACATCCTCAAAAACGCAGTCTAAAATAGCCCCTTAACTTTCAAGCAATCAAAACCTGTGTACTTAACGTTATCCTAAGGGTAAATCAATTTAGTTAAAAAGCTGAACTTCCAAGAGGTAAAAGATATGTACTCACCTAAGATTTTGTCAGTATAAATATCTGACCATTTCCCAGATCTGCTAGGCCAGCGTCCTAGACCAGCCAGATTGTCTAGATCATCTTCCACAAAAAGTTCATGCTCATTTCCTTGTCTCCCTGCTCCCAGTATGATTAATCCTGACAAAAAACTTTAATGCTGGTCTAACAACATACACCACTTTCTGCTATTATGGTTTCTGTGGATATGAGGGACACAATTTGCCCACTGCAGTGCTGAAAATACACATTTACTTTGAAAGCTGAAATCTGTATTTTTAAAATATACCTGCCCACTTCCTTGCTTAATTATGGACAAAACTTGAAATACACATAATTATAAAATTTTTGCATACTGTGCTATTTAGGTGGGAACACTTAAAAGCAGAAACCAACAAAACTCTTGAGGGAGATGGTGGCTAACCTTCTGACACTTTTGAAGTGTACTTCAAAGATCTGTGGATCAGTATGGGTCAGTTTACAAGAACAGAAGACAGGGAATATCTTCCACAAGCATTCAGGCACTGAAAACAACTAGGATTTTAGTAGACATATTAGCATCTGCTTGCAGTCCTAGTGGGGTTGTGAGGGAGAGCCACAGCTCCAGTAGATCTGCTGAAAGCACAGGTTTACAACATACAGACTCCTTTGTTCAGTAAGTGCTACAGCACAATGTTATATTGGAATAATAGCAATTTTTAAAAGTCAAGAGGCAATCTACCCATGCTATTCTTTTAATTACTCATTACCTAAATTAGTATTCATTTAACAGCAAAAGATTTCACGTAGTGAATGAGGAAGACTTTGTTTTAATCAGATGAGAACATAATAAAACCAACACAAATAAAAGATGCATTTGTTTTGACATCACCTAACACTTTTCTAGTTATCAAAAAGTAATCTGGTAAGATTCTCACACATCTCTCCTTTCTTAACCTTATATCCTAAATTCAGTTAGAGTGCTGAACCAGGCAGCCATTTCAATAGCAACACAACGATGGCAAACTCAGGATTGCGACTTCTCTTCAAGTTAAAATAGAACAGCTAGAGTAAGAGGGGAAATATTTATTGCACACGTGAAAGCAATGTGAAACCTAAGTAAACATACAGCTTATCTGCATCGTAAGTGATCCTCTGTGTACTGTATCAAGAGCAGTTCATAGTATTCCTGAAGCTTGAAGGTCAAGAAGATTGACTTCAGTGCACTTGAGTAACTCACAGAAACAAATACCTTGTACAAGTATTTTCAGCACAAGGGATAGTAAGTATAACATTTGTTGTGATCTAAAACAGATGACAATTGTTGCACAGAAACGAGCTTCTCAGTTCCCCTTATTTGCTAAATTAGATGTAGCTTATTAAATACACTAGACTCAAATCCCATCCTATTTTTAAGAAATGCAACAGGCTACAGCTCCAGCTATCTTCTAGAAATTTTAATGCTGCTACAGCTTATAGGTAGAGATAAATGTAAGCCTACAAGCATATATTCCTTGCTTTTAAGAGCTAATACTGTCAGACGTGATGATATTGCAGTAAGTCTTTCATCGTTTTCTTTGGCCCTGCATGGATGTTTTCTTTCCTTTTTTGTTAACTTCATTATAGCAGTTTGTACCAGCTCTGACAAAAGCCTAGCGAAATAATGGTGCAGAAATCTCACTGATGAAAGTAATTCCCTCACCGTTTTTAAAGCTTATGCTTCCATGTGCAAACACCAGGTCATTAAGATGACCTGAATACATTTTGTCAAGAAGGAAACAAATCTTCAGGAGTTACCTTTTGCTTTGAATATTTACCATATTCAAAAGTGCTAGTGAAGACTAAACTGGAACAAAGGAGTGACAGAAGACAAAGGGAACAGTAGGAAGCAAAGTTTTGAACCCAATCTGTGAGTACAGCCTTATGAGCCAGGGAAATATTGCTACAGATGACAGCCTTCAATGCTCTTTTCCTTGTTCCTCTTATTCTAGACATTCTGAGGCTCACCAAGGCTGCATTTTGCGCACAAACACTGGCCAACTGCAATAAAAAAGCTGTGAGCTGTAGTCACAGGATAATAAAACACTAGTTAATTCCCTTTCAGTCTTACTCAATGACACTTAAGTGAATTCTCACTACTCTCCCCTTCCCCCCCCCGCCCCGGTTTCAGGAAGGTGGGAGGGTTTCTAGTCACAAGCCTCCACAAAACAAAGATAAAAACATGTTAAAGAAGTGGTACTACAGAAATAATGCTTGTCTTCAGAGCCTTGAAACCTCCTCCAAAAAAACAGTCCTGTAAGAAGGTTTGGAATGCAAACAAGAAGAAATTACTTTGTTTTACTAACAAAGTTACTATTTTGGAGAGGAATGTAATTTTGAAATAGAGATATAATGACATAATATACTAGACACTTATATCAGCACAACACTGATACAAGGTATGTTAACTACCCCGAGGTAAGGAAGTATGTCAACAGAAATGCTCTTACACTGGGCCAAATGGAAGGTAGAGGATGCAGGTTTTATTACTGGCTGTAACGGTTTCTAGTAGTTATGCAAAGCCTAAGATGACCTAAAAGCTAACATACGCTGCCAACAACTCTAATTTTAAAAGTCTTAAAAGGTTATAGATATCATAGCAGTAAATGATCCTACTACTGTCAAAAACCCCCTGGATTTCTAGCTTCACATACTAAAACATTACACCATCAATCAAATAGTAAGAATAATGATAACATCCACATTTTTGTTAATTTGTGCTAAACCTCTACTCCTTTTCACAACATACCCATTAAATGCTTCTTCACTCCCTCAGTAAAGTCTGCATGCATACTAAAAACAATTCCAGGGGGACAAGACTTTCTCAACCTCTGTTCCTACTCCAATATGGTTAGTTTTCAGATTAATTCAACAGAAACCAGTATTTGTTTGATCAGTCAGTTCTCAGACGTTTCTACACGACCACACTTGGGATATGCATAATAGTGAGTGGACACATTTAAAGTACTTAACAGGAAGCTGAGAAAAAACAGGAGAGTAGTCAGGCAGGAAAAAAAGGAAAACAACCATCTCATCCACCCCACAAATTTGGTTCCTGTGTTGACAGAACCTTCTGCATCTTTTGAGTTGTAACTGAAAAGAAGTGTTAGCATTCTTGTAGGTACCATCACTACACACAATTACTCTGAAGTAATTATCGCATATTCAAGCTATTTACTGAAATAATACCCTGCTTGGCGTTCATTACCATCAGTTTGCATATTCAAGCTATTTACTGAAATACCCTGCTTGGCGTTCATTACCATCAGTTTCCACTTAGGTAGCACCTTCCTTAACACTTTTTATCTAGTATTACCATAGTGACAATGGTAATGTTTATATTGCAAATTCTTTAATCCTGCAAATTAGTCAGTGCTAACAGAAAAGACAGATATTTCTCAGTAGTTGCAAAGGTGTGCTTAAAATACCAAATTTAACACTTTTATGTCTATTAGGTGTCTTCTATTGAAAGTTTCAGGAATGCTGAAACGACCTTTCTTCTGAAATTTAGTATATTTCTCCCCATTTCCCCTCAGTAGTTATAAATGTATTAACCTTTTACGTTTGCCCATCACTGAGCAACATAAATCCATAAATACAAACCATTACACACTTTAAAAAAATAAATCACAAAACCTACCTGACTTAATAGCTGTCCATGAAAAATGTTGTTAACCACATTCAAAACCTGTTTTATAAGTTTTCTTTGAGAAGCAGGGATGAGAGCTGAGTATCTGGTCCCCGTAGTCTCCAGTTCCTGCTGCACTTTATCCAAAAGTTCACAGAGAAATTCCTGAGCATCTTGTTGGGCATATCCTCTGAAGGCTGGAATTAGTCTCCACACAGAATGAAGCATGGCAAAAGGAGACACCAGCGCCCATTTGCCAGACCACATAACTTGGAACAGAGTATGTAGCTCATGACAGAGAGAAATATGCTTTGAACTGGGCTCCCTGGGCTGAATAAGTTCCATATTTCTGCTTTTTGATGCTCCTCCACTTAATCCAGAGGATAAACTAGGCCGCCTCATGGAAGATGACCCCTTTACTTTCTCTTGGTTCTCATTCACATGTAATGTTGAGGCAGCTACTGACAGGTGTTTAGATGAAGATCTGGTTTTACCATTGGTTGCTGTTGCCAGCAGTTCCTGAGTTTGGTTGAGATCAAGCTTTAGAAAACATTCTCGAAAAATAAGTAAGTGACTTAATACCTGCAGGATAGAATTCATATAGCATGTATTTCCCAGGTTTCTCAGTCCTGTTACCCCAGGAGTCACTGTAGGCCTTCGTTTAATTGGAGAGTCACTTATTTTTTTCAACCTTATTTCATCTGAGGTATACGTTTCTTTCAGTTCTGCCACCGATTCCACGTTCTGTGGTGGTTTTTGCAGGCAGGTTGCTGGTTTTGAGGACATTCTAATCTGATTTTGTAAACGACTACTCTTTCTTGGAGGCATCTTTTCCATCTCTGCTTTCAACTCACGCTTTCGTTCTTGTCTTCTTTTCCTAGCTTTTTCCCGTCTTTCCTCTGCTTCTTCCCGACGCCTTTCTTCCTCCATCATCTTTTTTCCAGCAGGTGTCAACTCAAGCCAGGATCTGAATATTTTGCCCAGCAGCGCGCGCCGCCGGTGCCAGAGCGCCGTGAACATGCGATCTGCACTCCGAAGCAAGGCCTGGGCACCCCCATGGGAAAGGTAGGAATCATCACTCGCCCCCGCTGAGCGCAAAGTCCTGCCACTTCGAGTAGTGCACTCATAGTTTTGACTCTTGATTGCACTTAACGTACTTCGCAACAGTTTTAAATCGCCGGTTGCGTTATCATTCAGAACATAATCGTCGCAGAGATAGCAGAAAACATACAGCTCGTTTACTTCCAACGCCACCGGGTGACTGCTCTCCTGAAAGTGCTTTAGTGCGTGTTCTTCAATGTATCTTCCACAGGCCACGTGGGAGCAGCTGAGGCATGCCCACACCGACTCCGTGGTATTGCAGTCCCTGCAGTGCCATTTCTGAGGATTCAGAATGGAGTGATCTTGGGCCAGTCGCAGACGTCCTATGTGCTTACACTTGTCCATTGTTAACACTAGAACTGCAGAGATATGCTGGCAGAACACATCATCCAAACTATTTTCTGTCCATGATATTTCAATCTGCAACTACCAAAGGAAAAAAAAAACAGTTACAAGTTACAGTTCAGAAATATCCAACTGCATCACTTTTAAAGATGTCAGCATACCAAACTCATACTTGAAGATCATGATCATCATCCAACCAAATCCCACCAAACACATCAAGTCAGTTATGCAGAGCCATAAGCATTAACAGCAGTTTGGCTTCAGACTACATGCTCTCGATACCATTTATATTCCCACTATCTTCTGGCTCAGGATGGAAGCATACCAGATACCCTACAGATTAAGCCTGTTGTTGTTTTTTTCAAAGGTGCATTGATTCAGTTAAAATGCACCGCCAGAGCTTTTGGATACACACAAAACTTAAAATGGGACAGATTGCCCAGAGAACTTGTGGATGCTCCCTCACCAGAAACACTGAAGGTCAGGTTGGAGGAGGCTTTGAGCAACCTGATCTAGCGGGAGGTTTCCCTGCCCACAGTAGGGGGTTGGACTAGATGACTTGAAGAACCTAACCATTCTGTGATTCTACAATTCTAAAGCACTCCTATTAATTCTATCCCTTAGCATACAGGTGCAGAAGTGCAAAGTTCACTTAAATCTATTATGTTTACACAGTGCCAACAGTTCAGACAAATGAGGCTTTATGCGACTCAAACCCTTAATTAAACCACACCTTTAATCAAATCACTGCACCTTTGTGCTCAGGCAAGCCCATTATACCTGTGGTTTCCACAATAATCTATCTTCAATAAGTACTTTTTAACATGTCATCCTAACACCTCTGAAAGAGTGACCTGGAAAAGTAGAACTTTCTAAACCAGGTCTTCAAAAAGACAGTTAAAAAAAATTGCTACCACCAGATTACATCCTTTAATAAGCTTATGTGGTAGCATTTATTTGTTCGAAGCTCATGTATTTGCTTTAAGGTGCATTTGCCTAAAACAAAACGGCAGACTCTGACTAACAAAAATTAAAGAGACAGAGATTAACTTTCCTTTATGTTTTTACCATCTTCCTTTTGACTATCTCTAGCTGAGAGGTATCACCTAGAGACAAACAATGTGTCAGGAAGTTATTACATTTGATCTGGGGTGTTCCTGCTCACCCTGTTACTGACTAGAAGGGCTAAATAGCACATGGCACCAGCATCATTATGTGCAGTACTTGCCAGATGATACAGTTAATTCATCTGAGGAGTACCAAGGGTTTGTCAAACATCCAGGCTATGCCCAGTGACAAGTTATGCCATTAAAAATGCAGGTGTATGGTGGAACTGGCCTAGGCTGTACAACATCAAGGTCCAGGGTTCTATGTTCTACAGATAAGTAAACCATGCTACAAAAATACTGGAGTGATTTAGACAACTCTGGAGAGAACCTAAAGGATTATATTCTAGCTATTATCCTAGAATATGCTAGTATTTATCCAATTTTACAGTTCTGTAATACACAAGAACAGGTTACTCAATTTAAAACAGATGCCTTGGTTAGAATAAGCACTAGACTGAGGGAACCCTAATGTACAATGACACGACAGCACTAAAGAAGCCAAGCAGGTAGAAAGCTGCAGCTGGACAGGAAAGCAGCTTTCATTTACATCTGGTACTTAGATAAAAACTGCAGTTTTAAGATTTAACAAAAAATGTCTCTGCTTGTTGAACTGACCCACAGCTAGTGCCTTGCAGAATGTTACAATACACATAGCAGCCTCAGAGCTGTAGTAACTCCCTCATCACTTAGTCAGCACCCAACATTGCATGTGCTGTGTAGGTCTTACTCGGTAGCACAGAAAAGGTTGAGCCAGCTGTAGTGAAACCAGTAAATTGTACACAGTTTTACACGCCCATATTAATCATTCTCATTCAATTTAATTAAAGAGTTGTCTCCAGTCCCTACTAACTGCACTGAAGAATTTCAGGCGCCGTGACCTCTGAGTACCCATTCAGTAATTCCCAGATTAAGCACCAGCCATAGTATATTACGGGAGGTCGAGATCCCTTGTGTGCTATGGTCAACAGATCACAAAAATAATGGCTTGCTGAACTTTTTCAGCTTGCTAGCATCCATAACATTCATTCCTTCTAAAAGGCAGTCTATTCATAGCCTGCTAATGAGATTCTTTTACAAAAAGTCGTGCATGCTAAGTTCGCTTCTTCTACTGTCTTTATAACTAAGACCACTAGCGTTATCCCATGTCTTCTCCAAGTCTGACAACCTGTTTTCTGTAACAATGCTGAGCTTCCTAACACTGATAAAATTCACATCAATTCCAGAGCTGAACTACGTATGTTAATTATTCCTTGAATGTTAAAGGAATACCTATGTAAAGATGTAACACCTATGCTGCAAGAATCATATTTGAGAGACAGGATTTTAACAGGCAAGACTCATCTTCGTGTTTTGGGGCTAACGGAAATATATTCTGCTGAAAAACATATTAGTAACGGTCCTTTCCAGCAGGCCAGAAAGGAACACTAAACCCTGCCTTCCCATACAGCAATGCTGTCAGTCAGGAGTCTGACAGGTCGATCCTTTCTGGTTTTGTTAAGTCACTTTGTAAACACTGGGCCCTACTTTTCCCTTCTTTTTAATATTATATGGTCAGAAAATGTTGTTCTCTCCCGTTTAAAAATACTCTCCAGAGCGAAACTACTTCCATGCCTCGATGTAAGCAAATATTGGACTGAGGACAAAAGCAGACCGCTGATCTCAGGACGACCACTGCGTAAAGCAGGGTTGCACAATCAAGCTCTTCATGCAAAAGCAACGCGATTCTACGAAAGCGCAAGATCAGCAGCGCCTTGAAGAGAAAAACCTAAAGCCCCAGCTCCCCCACCAGCAACCAAGCCAGCATGACATTTTCCCACCTACGTCGATGTGTGTGGAGAAAGGGGACGGGGTGGAAGGGGGGAGGGGGAGGAAACATCTTGGCACGGCATTTTCTTTCTTTCTTTCTTTCTTTGAAGAAAATGTGAAGAAATCCAAATGCAGAGTTTGGTCAAAAAGACAGAAATATCTGAAAAGGCTGCGAAAAAGCTGAAAGTACAAAACTGAGACTGAAGATACTTCAGCTGAATGTCAAGCAGCGCCCTGACAGCGTGAATGTTCCAAGACAGAGCACTGAAACACCGAAACGGCATCAAGTCACAAAGTTTAAAAACTACCTTAGAACCCAGACTTGGCAAGACAGAATAGCTCGGGGAAAAACAGGAGCGAAGTGACAGATAAAGGTGGAAGAGAAACCTAACAAATACTGCATATTCATTCCCACGCCCACTAGAAATCTGCAGCTGGAATAAAACAGAAGCAGCAAATGCTCCAACGTTAGAATTCCCCAAAGAAAGTTATTCAGTGCTAGTTTCTGCATTCTTCTCGCCCAAGGTTCAGTTCTATGCACACACACAAAGCAACTGTGAATTAGTTGTCCAGCACTTCAGAGATCAAGCCCCCCTGTGTTCTCAGAGCAGACCTGAGCTGAAGTAGTAAGCAAAATAACAAGTACTAACATACAGAATAGCAATACTGAAAGTATTGTCTGGGAAAACAGATAAGCAAGTACTTGCTTGTGCCTGTGCTTCACAAGCAAGAAATAAAGATATAAAGGAGAGGATTTTTATTTTTTTTTACCCATTAAACTGTACTTCAAACTTACTGATGTGGCTGTTTCTTTAGTTTCACAAAAGGAGGGCTTGCAAAATGTACATTTCAGGGTTACTCATCAGCTGAAAACTACTCAAATGTCAAAAGCCAACAACTTCGAAGTCAAGAAAACGTATGCTTTTCTTCCTTGTGTTCCATGTAAACAAATATCTCCGCAGATTATAAATTTTAAAGTTGCGCCTATAATACATAAACAAAAGGAAATCTCTTTCCTCTCGCCACTACGCTCGTAATTAATTGCTTGGCACGTAAACGAAAAAAAAAAGGTCGGTCGGTGTCAAGCGTTGGACTAGAACTGCAGGACAGTTTTAGTGATGTATCTACACAGACACGTGTGTGTGCACGCTCGTGGGTGCCATCAGCATTCTGGCTTTTGTATCAGATGAGGGTTTACCAACTGATTTTCATCAGAGCAGCTGTTTAATACCCGAAATAAAAGGAATCACGGGTATTCAACAACTGCAAGTTTGAGATGACCGGTATGCCAACTAGAAGGCACATGTACCGCTTTACTGCCTTCCTAATGTTCGTATTTTTAAAGAAAACAACCAAACAAAGCATTTATTTGCATCATTTCAAGCTGCAATATAGTCCTGCAGGTATACCAGTTAAGGCTTAAACATCACTTTTGTAAATTATTTTGAAGGGTAACATTTCAGCCCTTGACAAGAGCCGCCCCTCCCCCCGAGCCCCCTTTCCCTGGAGCCACAGATCGTCCTGGCCCTTCTCTCTCCCTCCGCAGTGTCTGTGCGATGGATACGAGCAGCCCTGTACGCCGGGACAGCGGGCACCGACACAGCGTTCACATTCTCTGCCTCTTACTGCAAACCCGCGCGTTTCCTGCTGTTCGAGACAAAACAAACAGTTCAGCACCTCCTCAGAAGCACGGAAAACGCAGCTCCTCTTACGAGCCCGGACTTACACACTGAGCC